TCGACGAATACGAGTTTTGATTCCCCGTGGAGGAGGAGCACGGAGATAGTCCTCGGGTCAAGGCGGGTATTAATATTGTTAAGGATCGCACCACACATAGGGACAGCAAAGTGGAGCTCATATGCGGCAGGAGTATTAGGGGCTAAAACAGATACAACTTGGCCTCTTTCAATGCTATAGGACAAAAGAGATGATGCACTTCGAAGACATCGTTCATGGGTATCGGCCCACGTGTAGGTGGTGCCTCCGTATACAACGGAGGTACACTCGCCGTACACGGTGGCCGCTCTTTCAAGGTAGCCTAGGGGGGTAAGTGGTGGAGAATTAGCAGGTGTGGGTTTGAGATGATCCATTTGGGGAGTTTGAGACAACAAAGTCAAAAGTGTGTTTATTTTGTGGGTTACGTTTAAAGGGTAAATTGCAAATGAAGTAGTGTATATGTAACGATAAGGAGAACAGATATGATTCACATGTCACTGTTATATCATCAATAATGGATAGATTATTGTAACGATCTCGAAAGTCGTGATAATTTAAACTATCTTTTTGTAAAATTACCACGAATTTTTCATTTGATGCCAAGATTTGTGACTTGCCGTATTTTTTTGTGTGTATTATAATCCTGTGTGATATGATGGAATTGAATAATTTAATTTTGTTCTCTATCTTGTCTACCTAATCCCCTTCTTAAAGAAATTCCTAATACATTTTGACCTTTAAATTTTTAATAAATAAACCTCGTTGTAGATTGGGAAATTGCGGGTATAATCTCGTACTCATTTTCCTACCAAAAAAATAAATAAATCTGGTACTGATTTCATTTCATTTCATTTAAGTGCTCTTAGTTGGGCTCTTAACAGTCTTCACAATTTAAGAGAATTTTTTAAATCATTCATAAAACATAATTTGTACCGAGTAGTATATAAGAAAAATATAATAATATAAATCTGATTTGATTTGTATTCAATAATATTTCAAAATTATGATTAATTTTTATATTTTTGTATCATGTAATTAGAAATATTAATAAGGGTGCTCATATTGCCAAGGCAAAAGAGTTATTTTCAATGTTAAATTATTTACCCGTTATTCGTAATATACGAGAATAGATCTATAAATGCCAAACTTCTTAATTCAATATGATAGTTTGTAATCTTTTAATAATCTTTTGTTCCCAATAATGTATTGTAATCTTTTGTCACTATAGTAGTAGCTAAATATTTCAATTAAAATCTTTCCAACTCTAGTGACGATAAACATAATTAGCAAGTTGTCATCATCTGGAGAAATATATCGTACACTCAAGGAGTTTTTAAGCATACGATTAATATTTATAACCCCTGCTTATAATCAACACCAAAAGATATACAAAATAGTAGTTTCTCAGCTTCGAAAAAAGTTGTAGTTAATTAGCAAGTTGTCATCATCTGGAGAAATATATCGTACACTCAAGGAGTTTTTAAGCATACGATTAATATTTATAACCCCTGCTTATAATCAACACCAAAAGATATACAAAGTAGTAGTTTCTCAGCTTCGAAAAAAGTTGTAGTTTCTCAATGTTAAAGTAATATATATATATATATATATTCATTAAAAGGTTAAAACTAATACGGAGTGCTACATATAGGGCCATAGGGGTATTAAAAAATTGGTCTGGACCGGACCAAATTAATCGGTCCGGTCTCCGGGTTGAGAAATTTATTTTTCCGGCCTCCGGTCCGGTCCGGTCCAAAACCCTATAAAAACCGGTCTTGGATCGGACTAATTTTTTGCTTAAAATTATACATAAAACTTTAATAATGATTAAGATTATCCTTAACAAGCTTGGAAAACTTTAGTCGTATGAGCTTTTTTGTACTAAACAAACAAAAAAAGACGTTAAAATATTATTATTTTTCTTTATTTTTTTTCGAGTTTTCCATAAATGATTTAAAATTTAGAAATTTATTATAGGAAAAATTGCACCAATAATACGACCTTTGCTCCGTCTGCTAAAAACAAGTTCACCTTTTGTTTATTTCAGAATAATACGACCTTTAGGGGTACTCCGCTTTAAACAGGTAAAAAAACTGGCAACCTACAACTAATAAGTCAGCAGGTTAAAAAAAATTGGTTGACCACCATTTCCCTCCCAAATTGCACAGGTGGCAATTAATGACTCCAACTACCCAAACTTGAATGCTCTAAGTGTCGTACTATTGCGCCATAATTGAAGCTCACCTAAATCTGTACTGCTAATTGGGGAAGACAACAGAAGCTATTGCGCCGGAAAACACCCTGACGTTGGTTAATTGCGTCGGAATTCGCCTGGAGTTGCTTAATTTAAGGTACGAACTGACCACTGTTGATGTTTTGTTTCCAGTTTTTTGGGTTTTGTGGAATGATTCAATTACGCATGTTAATTTATTTGGGGGAATTAAATGTGTGAAAGTAATTTGTGTTTGATTATGCTTGTTGTATCATTATTTGGTTGCGTCGAAGGTGTTTGCTTTGTTGTAGTTCAAATGTAATTGGATAGGTGAATTTAGGTGTTTTGGGGTTTTCGTTGATACGATTTAATTTTGCTCTGTGTGTGATGATGTTGTTGGTTACTGTGGTTGATCTTAGGTGACAATGAGCAAGAATAGCTTATTTGAGAATGTGAGTTTGAGGTATTGGCATGGAGGCAACTTTAAAATTGTTGGTAATGGAGAGTTAGTGTATATGGGTGGTAAAGGAAGGACATTTCAGGTTTCTCCTGATGAATTATGTTATTGGGAGCTACTTGAATTGGGAACGAAATGTGGGGATTATATTAACATTGCTGCCCTATATTATTTAGTTCCTGGGAAGTCTTTAGCAGATGGGTTAAGAAAGATAGCAGGGGATGCAGAAGTATTAGAAATGGGAGAGATAGTGATGAAGCATAGGAGTATTGATGTGTATGTGTTGCATAGTGATAAAGAGCCACAAGTGTCAGCAGAAAATCCTAGTACTTCTATTAGCCAATCAAGCTCAGAACACATTACCAGACCAATTTCAGAAAATATCCCACCTCCCAAACCAACTAAACCTAAAAAATTAACTCCCAAAAAGGGTCCACAATCACTAAAGTTGGGCCCACCTAGAAGAAGCCCCAGAAAACACATGGCATCCAATGTAACAACATCTTCTTCTTTGGCTGGTCCTACTTTAACCAAAAAAGTTGGCTCAAAAGCATCTTCTTCAGCCTTTGCTGATAAAAACACTTTGACCCAACCCTATTTCCAACTTAGAACCTCCACAACAAACCCTCAACCAAGAACCAGCAAATCCTTCACATGTCTGTGGTGAGAACACAGAGTATGATTGGGAAGACAACAGGCCAGAAAGTCCACTGACCCTTAAGGAACTATGTGGTTTTAGTAATGATGATGAGGATGAATCAGATCCTGAGTTTGTGCCTGATGAGGAGGATGAAGAGGAAGGAATTGATGTTGAGCTGGAGGTAGAAGATGATGACTTTGAGGTTGATGAGGGTCTTGACAGGGTTGATTTGGTCACTGGTGAGTCAGACAACAGTGATGAGGAGGTTGAACAAGCTAGACAGAGAGTTCAAAATTGCAACAAAAAGATCCTTGAAATAGCAAGCCAACTTCAAAGAGAGGTATGTGAAGGGAGATTTGGAGGTCCAAAATCAGTAGAGGGTGGGCAACAAAGAGCTGCTGAAACAAGTGGTGCTGCTGAAACTTCTGGTGCTGTTGAAACATTTGCTCCTGGTGACACAGCTGGTGCTGGTGACACATCTGGTGCTGGTGGTTATTATAGTGAGTATGAAAACATTGAAGATGAGATTCACACCCCTGAGAATAGTGATGATGAAAATGCTGGAGCAAGAAGGAAGGGAAGGAGAGGTATGCTTGTGAGTGGTGGGACTGATTTTTCTACATTCACTTGGGTAGTAGGTCAGAGATTTGCCAATAGGAGTGAGTTTAAACAGGCTGTTGCTAGGTATGCAATTATGCAGGGTAGGGACTTGAGCTTTGTTATGAGTAACAAGAACAGGCAGCAGCATGTAGGAGTAAGATGTGTAGAAGGGTGTCCTTTTTTTCTGTATGGTGCATGGCATTCAAGAAATGCTACATTCTTGGTGAAGACGGCGGATGGCAGTCACACATGTCATAGGAGTATGAAAAAAACAGACAATTCAAATCAACTTGGGCTGCTAGAGAAATCTTGGAGGTTTTTAAAGCTAGGCCTCACTGGCTAGCTAAGGAAATAATTGAAGCTATTAGGAGTGCTTATAAGATTGTGGTGACTAGGGACTTTTCATACAAAGTCAAATTCCATACACATAGAATGCTCCATGGCTCCATGAGGGAACACTATATGAAAGTTGAGAGGTATATCCAAGTTGTGAAGGATTCTAGCCCTGGAACAAGTATTGAGTTGGTGGTGGATACTTCCAAGCAGACAAATCCACCTGTTTTCCAGAGACTCTACACCTGTTTTGAAGGAGTAAAGCAAGGTTGGAAGGAAGGCTGCAGAAAAGTCATATGTGTAGAAGCTGCTTTCTTAAAGACCTTTCTTAGTGGCCAAATTCTGAGTGCAGTTGGCAGAGATCCTAATGAACAGATGTACCCAATAGCATGGGCTGCAGCAGAAGGTGAAAACCACTCATCTTGGACATGGTTTATCACCCAATTGCAAATTGATTTGGAGCTAGGTGATGGCACTGGGGTTGTTGTTATATCAGATGAACACCAGGTAAACATTAAACCATACTTGCTTTGGCTGACACTAGTTAATGCTGGTTTTGTTTGATATTTTGTATGTTTATAAGAAGTTATTGGTTCATTTTTGTGAAATGTATGCACTAGTTCAGTAGTGTTGATTGGTGTGTTTAAGTATGCATTTTTTATTTTTGGTTTTACAAGGCTATTGTACATGCTGTTGCTGCTGTCCTACCAAAAGCTGAGCATCGTCACTATGCTAGACACATTTTTTCACTGTGGCATAAATCCTTTAGAGGAGATTAAATGAAACTACATTTCTGGAAAATTGCTAAATCCTACAACTTGGCAGATTATAATGAGTGTTTAGAGGAGTTGAGAGAGTTAAATCCAGATGCAACCATAGCTTTCACTTCATATAACCCAAGACTATTTTGTAGAGCTTACTTGAATTATGAAATTAAGACAGATGCAATCACATCTAACATGGCTGAAACATTCCACTCATACATTATTAATGCCAGAACCAAGCATTTGATATATATGTTAGAGGACATCAGAGTGGCTTTGATGCAGAGATTAGTAACTAAAAGACAAGAAATGCAGAAGTCAACCTCTGTTCTTTGTCCTAGAATCCATGCCATGTTAGAAAAGGAAAAAAGTAAGGCTGCATTGTGTGATGTTTTACCTTCTTCAGATACAGTGTTCAATGTGAAGTATTTCCTTGATCAACTCAAGGTAGATTTAGAGGCCAGAAAGTGCACATGTAGGAAATGGGACATGTTAGGGGTCCCATGTTGTCATGCCATAGCATGTATATTCTTTAAGAACAAGGATGCTGAATCTTTTGTGGATGATTGTCATAAAAAGGATGTATACTTGAGGGTTTATGGTGGTTTTATCCATCCATGTGAAGGAGAGAGGCATTAGCCTAAGATACCCTGCAACTTAGACCCCCTGCCATCAAAATAGGTCCTGGAAGACTTAGAAAAAATAGGATCAAAGATCCTTATGAGAACCCAAAAAAGCCAGGCTCTTTGTCAAGAACAGGACTTGAAATGACATGTAGTCTCTTCAACGTTAGAGGCCACAACAAGAGGAGATGTCCAGACAAAGACAACTTTGTTCACTTAGAGCCAGCAGCAAAGAGGGGAAGAGGCATGTCAAGGAAAGAAGGGTCTGCAGCAAGGTCTTCTGATCAGCAGGTAGTGGACCCCACCTATGCATCAACTTCTTCTGCAGGTGTTCAACACCATTCCACCATTGCACAGCCAAGTCAATTAGGCAAGGGTGGAAGGGTAATTTACAGTGGTAGGGGTGCTAGAGGTGGTGCTAGATCTGGTGCTAAAGGTGGTGCTACATCTGCTGCTAGAGGTGGTGCTATTAGGGGAACCAGAGGAGGAAGGGGGAGAGGCAGAGCAGGGGTTGGTGTGTTGTTCAGTGCTGATGGTACCCCAGTACTACAAGTAAGGTTCATTTGCTTCTGTATTGTGGTATCTGTTTTTTTAAGCTAAGCTATCTGCTAAGTAATTGTTGTAAAATTCGGTTTCAAGCCCCCTTTACTAGGAATAGAGCAAGGAATCAGGAGGCACACATATCCACACAGTCAAGCCAAACCTCTACAGTGCATCAACAACATCCATGACACCTTGGGTTCAGAATTCTGTTATTTTGTGACACTATCATTAGCACTAAGTATTTTGAACAACAATGTAGTGAATATTGCTTTGTCTTTTGAACAATGTAGCATGTGTAAGCTAAGTATTTTGAACAATCTTGGTTTATGCCAACCCATATGCTTATGTTATGTAATTTTCAGATAGTATGATTAGCACTAAGAAATTAGTACTGTATTATTATCAACTCTGTTATGAAATCAGCTCTGTTAAGCTCTGTGTTATTATTGCAACTGCAAAACATAACAACTACAAATACAGTGCAACAGATGACAAAATCTAGTTCCTAAATCTTAATTGTTAAATTACAACTCCACCTAAACTCCACTTAAAATTTGAGATAAAACAACACTACAACAAAGAAAATCCATGAAAAAACCAAAGCCATGGATAAATTCTTCTGGTTCCTGGAACAATTCATCATCTCTACACGCATGGCATGCACTTCGTTCTTCATTTCTTGAACATCCTCTTCTAAGTTATCCTTCTTCAACTGTAACCTCTTGATTTTATCATCTCTGCATTGTTGCTCATACTCTAACTCGCAAATTCTTGTTTCCTTCTCCAAAACATGATATTGAAGATCTTCCATGGGGGTGCTCTGATTAACCCACCTAAACATTTCACATTTGGTGTCCTACAGTAAAACAATTTTCAATTAAGAACCTATGAATCTCAATTAAATCAACATCAAAAAAATTGAAAGGAATTTGTAATTGATAACAAACCGGCCATAAGGGACAGCTGTAGAACTTCATCCCACTATTTGGACCCTTCTTTACAGATCTCACCACCGCATAATTGCCACAACTATAGCGGACTTTTTGGTTTTCCTCGTTCGCAAAGCTTGAAGAACCACTGGATGATTGCCTTTTCCCAACCATTTAATTGCAATTTTGATTTTACCTGGGAAGACCACGTTTTCATGGAGAAAAATGCGAACAACAGATACAGAGGTATAAATAGAAGAAGATAAGGGAAAGAGGAAGACACGTCAACAGTTAACCTGCAGTAACCGGTTACAAATTTTTTTTACCTGTTTAAAGCGGAGTACCCCTAAAGGTCGTATTATTCTGAAATAAACAAAAGGTAAACTTGTTTTTAGCGGACGGAGCAAAGATCGTATTATTTGGTGCAATTTTTCCTTTTTTTTATGAAAATTCTAAAATTGGTCCAAACTAGTCCGGTCCGAATTTTGGACTGATTTTTTCGGTTCGATCCTAGCTTAATCGGTTTGGTCTTCGTTTCTTGGAATTCAATTTTTCGGTCCGATCCAGATTGATCCGGTCTGGACTGGTCTTAGACCGATAAATAGCCTAGCAACATACATAGCGAAAAGAGTATAATAACCATTTACATGATACTCGTAGGAAACTAAGAACAATCAATCTAGCTAACACAGGAGGTGCATTAAGATCAATTGAATTTGGTGCACTTTCACCATGGACTAGTTAAAAATTATTTGAATCATGTATAAGGACTATTAATTGTAAGAGGATTATACATACTAACAATCTATAATGGTGAATAAATAATGGCAGATTTTGAAAAAAGTAATCATTTGCTGGAGTTTGGAAAGATTTTAATCAAAATATTTAGCTACTAAAAATTATATATAACAAAATATTATTGACAAAAAAAGAATATCAAATATATTATTAAATTAATAAGTTTGATATTTATAGATTCTCATAGATTATGGGTAGTGGTGGATAATTTAGCCTTAAAAGTGACTTTTTTCGCCAATCAACACCCATATTAATATTTATAAATCTCAGAGTTATCACTTAAGACATCCCCGTAGGACATTTGACAATGCAATGCACATTTTGTATCAAAAATTCTATACCTATATTATTATTGTTTAAAAGTGAGGGAGTCACAAATCCTCCCCTCTTGGTGTCTCACGTCAGCAGTTTCGTGTACAATTGTAACATCTTAGGTCAACATGAGCCCACTAATAGATATTGTCCTTTCTGGACACTAACCCGCAAGAATTTTCTTTGGTGCAAGACAAGAAATTCTACCCAAAAGGCCTTTACTAGGTTGAGGTATCAATCCCCATATAAGGAAGACTTCGTTCTCAAGGTGTCTATGGCACCCCTACATCAGAAGTTGAGGAAAACGAAGTCTTCCTTATATGGGGATTGATACCTCAACCTAGTAGAGACCTTTTAGGTAGGACTTCTTATCCTGCACCGAAGCAAATCCTCGTGGGCTACGGTATAGAGAGGACAATATCTACTAATGGGATCATGTTGACGTGGGGTGTTACAAAATTAAGCAATGTTAATTTAATGATCAATTAAATAAAATTTCTAAGTTGTTTGTCAAAACAGACCTTTTAAATACCATTGTTTGTGAAAAACAATCTTATAAAAAATTTCAGACCTAAAAACCTTCTTATTTTTTTCAAAATAAACTTTACCTTACTTTCTAATAGGGAGGCTCAAGTAGGAGACCTGCCCCATCCCCACCTAAGTGGCACTAATAGAATAACACAAATATGCACCGGTTCAAAACCCCCCTATTGCACCGGTTTACATTTGAGGGATGCCAAAAAAAAAACTTTAGCATCGGTTCAAAACCGGTGGAAATTTTTAGTTTTAGCACCGGTTAACCGGTGCTAAAAAACATTGTCGCAGTTTTTTTTTGGTATTACTAACAATTGGTACCAGTCCGGTTCAAAACCGGCGCCCTTAATGCCCCAAAAAAATAAAAAAAATAAACAATTGGCACCGGTTCGGTTCAAAACCGATGCCCTTAATGCCCCAAAAAAATTAAAAAAAAAATATCGCATTTTTTTCACTTAAATTGATATATAAACACTAACATATATATAAAGTTACATATTTTCATTAAAAAAGGCTGTAGTATTACAATTTTCGTCCAATAAAAATAAAATAAAATACAAGGTTATACCCGTTTTCAGCAACAAAATCCAGCAACATCAACACCTTCATCATCTTCAACAACATTTCATCTGAAAAAAAAAATTAAAGCAGGAGACTTGTAAAAAAAATAGCCATGTTTCCGGAATACCTTGACGGGTTTTTCAGCATCGAGATGATGATTCAGGATGAGGAGGAGCTACTCACAGCAATGTACCACTCAACATCACCAGAAACACAAGAAAATAATTCATCAGAAGAAGATTCCCATGATTCTGATGACGAGTTTTTCAACATCGATATGGTTTTACAAGATGAAGAGGATTTTATGGCAGCAACATCAAACACAACACAAGACAACTTTAATTCATCACAACAAAACATTCAAACAGAAGTGGATGTCCAGAACACAAAGGAACCAAGGAGGGAGTTCACAGCAGCAAAGAAAAGAGCTATAGTTGACAAATGTAAGAGGGGAGTGTTATCGATGTCAGAAGCAAAAAAATTAGCAAGTGCGGCCGAAAACCAATAGAATACACAGTTGAATTCTTACAGTCAGTGTCATTGCACCTCAGAACAACGGAGGCTAGATATGCTGCTGCACTAAAGATACCATGTTCAAGCTTTCAATTTGTGTACTACCAAGTAGCAAAGAAGGCTAGCAAAAACCGGCCAGCAGGCACAATAGAATCTAAGGCAACACAGAATATGAAAAGAGATGAAATCAGAAAAATGCTCATGAATGGAGTCATTCCAACCATCAAATGCAACTGGCCAGAGAGTTTGCCTAGGGATGTGCTCATACAATGGGACAATGCAAGGCCCCATCAAGTCCCTGCTGACTGGGAGTTCAAGGCATCTAGAAGATAGGGGGTTCAACATACAATTTCTTTATCAGCCCCCACAATCACCCGACTTAAATGTGTTGGATTTGGGACTCTTTCAAGCTATACAATCAATTCAACATCATGCATTCCCCCAAAACTTAGATGAATTAGTAGAGAGGGTGAAGGTGGCATAAGATGAATTTCATTCTAGTGTAAACAAATACACTTGGATCACATTACAAATGTGCATGGTTGAAATTTTAAAAGTCGAAGGGGGGAACAAGTACAAGATCCCACACATTGGCAAACAGAGATTAGAAAGGCTTGGTTTGCTCCCGAAACAAGTAGAGGTCAGTCAACAAGTAATTGACCAAGAAATTAATTACCTCAACAACAATTTCATTCACACAACTCAAGACCAACATGGCACAACAGAGTTTGAGGTGGATGTAGATTAGGTAAAGAAAGGCAAATCATGTATGCTCAATTGCCACACATAACCAACAAGCAACATTTTGTAATAGGACTCATTTATT